TTTGGAGTCAGACTGGTTTTATTTCTAAAATAAGAATTTATAAAACGCCATATTGATTGACTGTCTATAAATTGTATGCTTTTTGAACAAAAATATGTATTTGCAAATATAAATTCACCCCATAGATTCACGTGTGTGGGTTTAATATATACATATTAATCAAATAAAACATTCTAACTGATTAAAGATCTAACAGCATCTTATGTTTGTTTAGTACAGCCTCATCAATAGTGTGAACCTTTGATCTTTTACTTATAAATTCTGTGTCTGAAACTACCTCTCTCACTAACACCTGAAGGAGGACAGAGGCTCCGAAAGCTTGTGTTTCAAATAAACCTGTTGGACTATAACTTGGTGTCATGTGATTTCTGACCTTCATCACCAATAGACAGCGACGCCTGATTGTACCACAAGAAATATGACAGCCATCTCGGCAAGGGCTTCTTCAAAGGCACCTTTCAAACCCACAACCTATACACCTAGCAGGATAAGGAAAGTAGACGATAGATAGGACTACCACTACCAGCAACCTCTTCTCCAAGCCACACACCATCCTGACGTGGGAAAAAATATTCCTTCCCTCACTAAAGTAACTAAAATACACAAAGTTCCCCAACTTACCAGAATTTTGGACCCACATTGATAGGAAGCACACACGAGGTTTCCACACTGAACAAGAATCACTATTTATTGTAAGTAATTAGATTCTAGCTAAACAAGTTAACAGTTTAAACTGTTAGCATATAATACTACGAATTTAAACTCTAATTCACTTATAAACTGCCACTTAACAACTTACACACACGAATAGGTTATGGACAGAGGGGAAAAGTCTAGAAAGTCAGTTCAGTAGTCTTGGTTCCCAGGCACTGTTTTTGAGATGATCTTCATGACTCTTCTGCTGGCCATCACATTCCTTCAGTCACTTTTCTCCAGATGCTTCTACTTGTTGATAAGGAATACGAGGTGGTTGGTTCCCTTATAAAAAGTCTCTGACTTAGCAGTGAAAGTCACAGCTTACAATGACAGTTACAGCAAAGTTAAACTGGTTTTCTTCAGGTTTACACTGAGTTTTGACTGCAGAGAGGAAGGGAGCTCCTGAGATGGTTAAGAACTGAACACTTCTCACTCTCTCTTGCTCTCTATATCTTGTTCTCAGCTCCAAGATGTTCAGTTACCTGAGGACCAACAGAGTTGTTGGCAAGCAAAAAGGTCTTTGGAAGCTGGTCACTAGTCCATAAACCAATTAACTCCTTGTTGCTAGCAAAAACTCATCAGTACATCCCCCCAGCTCGAAAACGTCTTCAACTCTAATCAGTACTGGTTCAATTGCTTGCAATGGATTTCAGATTACTTGTTTTTTTTCAAAATGGCAGCTACCCTTTTGAACACTGGCTTTTAAAACAGCTCTCTCTCATTTCAGTCTCTAATTTGCAGAAACACAAAATAAAAAAAGGCATGATCTTTACACGATTGATCTCTTCCTATGACATGCCGCTTTGACCAGGCTGTTGTGAACTCTCATGCAGTTGGATGTCAAATTTTGTTTGATGATGCTCCTAGTTGCTTCATACGATCGTGCTTCTATTTTAAAGGTGCTACATGAATGCAGATCATTAATGGAAGTACACAAACTGGAGCAGTTATACTTTGCCCTTCTCTAATAATCCTTCCAATTATTTCGGAATAGGCTAAAGCAACCAACCAACAACGACAAATCCTCAAACAATATGCCCAAAACACACAGGAAACCCACAACTTCTACCAAATGAAAGAGATACCACCAGAAGACCATCTGATTTACAGCATTCCACAATGAATCCAGTCTGGTTGCTGACGTATAATGATACAACACAGAAGAAGAACAATCAGCCTATGTTAGCTCCTTAAAAGGACTAGCTAATTAGTCCCTTGCTCTTTTTCCAACAGCCCATCATTTTCTGCCCCGAACTGTTTATCCAATGGAAGCTATTATTGAGTCTGCTCCCACTATCCTCTTTCACAATATATTTCGAATGTGAACAATTTACTGAATAAAATAATTTGTTTTGTGTTACCTTTGGTTCTTTTGCCAATTACCTTAAAATCCTTGGGTTTTCAACCCTGACACCACCAGAAAATGTTTTCCCTCTTAATCTATTTATGTTTCATTATTTTGAATCCCGCTATGAAATTTTCCTTTAAACTTCCCTGTTCCCAGGCAACCACCTCAGTTTCTCCAGTCTCTCCTCAAAGCTGAAATAGTGTTCAGCTTCCAGTGGACCACAGTAGCAAGTCTTCTCAGCATACTTCCCTTGGACTTGAAACTGTTACTATAGCGTTACGCTCCTAACTGGATGTAATATTCCACTGACACCAAACTAATTATCTATAAAATTTTAGAATAAATTACTTGCTTTACATCTTCTGCCTGTATTTATGAAAGCAATGGTTCTTATGGATTTAAAACAGCTTTCTCAATGCAGCCAGCCATTTTCAAAGACTTGTATAAATGCACCCAAGTCGCTGCAGCATTTTTATAATGGTACCATTTAGTTTGTATCGCTTCTCATCATTCTTATCAAAATTCATCACCTCAAACTTCTCTGCATTAAATTTCATTAGCCATGGGTTTGGCAATTTCACCAGTCTATATGCTGTTCACTGTTTACCGCTTTTCCAAATTTTGCTTTACAAATTATTCCCCTCATACTGAAGTCCAAGTCACACTGGCATAGTACAAATGTACCAGAATAGCAGTTCATCTATTATTCCTTAATTCTAACCAAATAGTTTTGTGACATGTAACTTCATCTATATTCCATACGGTACATCCTTACTTAAAAGTTGCAGGTGTGTTCTTGGAGATCATGACAAAGTGAAATAACACTGAAAAATTAAAAGTTAAAATCTGAATTGGACTTTTCCAGGCAAGAAATATCCAAAGGATCCTATGTATGTTGTGAAATTATACTGTACATGTGCAGTTACTGGATGAAATTCCTGAAAGAAATACTTTGTAAATATTTAATATAGAAAATTATTGTGTGAAGTCAAATTATATAACACTCATCAGCCTCTCTTTCTTCATATGCAGATACTTAGGGTTTGGGAATGACTCACTTCCACTTCAATTTGCCATCAGCACTGCCACAGGTGGCCCAGGTGTTGGCTGGAGGATCAGATAGATGAGTTCTTTGGAGGTTTTTGCATATGGTCTGCTGTCAGGGAATGCTCCTAACAAAGTCTCTGTTCAGTGCCTTCCTGAATGAACCTTCTCCCATTTTGGTTAGTCACGACAAGTTGGTAGATATCTCCAATCTCTTCAGAAGGTTATTGGAACATCCCAAAAGTGTTTCAGTGGAGGTGACTGTGAGCAATCAACATCTCAATAGCATGTTGGCTTGCTAGCTTCAGCTTTGTTCACCAGCTATAATAGCCTCTCTGCTTCACCAACTGCAAAAGGTGAAAAAGGACCTGACTTGGTGCTCCAAAGTTAAACAGAAGATTGCAGAGTCATGGTCCAAAAGACCAAGTACTACACGTAGTATTCTCAGCTAAATGAGCCCAAAACAAAGAAAGGAATTTTACCCGCTGTAAGTAGCAAATCTCCCTCTCTCTGACTTTAAAAAGAGCTCCTTTTTGTGGTTTGCTTAACGTGAAAGAAAACCTCAGTTCAGAATGATACCAAACAGGCCAACCTTACAGACAAGAAGTATAATTGTGAAAGAATACGTAATGAGAAAAAACATGAAATAGTATACAAAACAATATTAAATTTAAACTGAAGATGCAATTTAGAATACCAATCTTAAAAGCATTGAAACTTTAAAGCAGGGTAACTCAACACAGGCCAACTTAAAACGGGGACTTATTGTATGTATAAGGACAAGGGGGATCACTCTCCAATGTGGTCAAACTTAGAGAAAAAAATCCATCCCCTCCATCACCACCTCCACAATGGAGAAACTGCACAATTTCTTTCCTTTGGCATAAATTGACAAACAAAACCCAATCCCCAATAACGAAACTTATTGCTTTTCTTTGTTTCAAAGAAATAATTTTATAACACCACTCAATAAGGAAGACACAGTTCCACACAACTTTTATTGCCTTCTGCTGATCTCCAGTTTCCAAGCCCTCATGTTGACTTCTCCACCAACTCCACTATTGATCAAGTTATCCCAGTGCTTTCTAATAGGTTTGATCTAAATACTGATTGTGTACAAGATCACAAGATAGTACCTAACATTTATGCAACTCTTAAAATATAAAGGTCGAATGTTATTTCCTTATGCGCTTTTTATGGATAATCTTATGTACATTTAGTTTAATAAATGTCTTCCAATAGACACTGTACTAATGTATGCAGTTATATAGCTTATAGATTTCTGATCTAAAAATTCATTAGTGGAAAAGAGTCTAGAGCTTAGTAATGCTAAAACATCAAAAATAGAAAGTTTGAAAAGACCAGTGCTCACAACACAGCCACTACCATTGGAACAAGCGCAGCAATTCACATTCATAATATGAGCTAACACTTCTGGGGTTTGGTGGCAGGGTATTATTATGCAACACAGATATCCTTTATTGATTTTTTTTTTCCACAATGCAACTGCCTAAGGATCATTTCATTCCAAAATAGTTTGCACCACTCACCAATGCAGTCATTCACCTCCAGCACAAATATCAAATGTCACAAATAAGAAAGTAAATAAAGAACAAGAATTACTTCCCCGCAAACCATAAAATAACCAATGACATAAGAGTCATTGCATCTTATTAATGCCAATCTTCTTTCTTATTCTCTGTAAAACAGTTATCTTTCAGACAGTTAAGGAGTGGTCAACAAGCTCAACCCATCTACAGTTAAGGCAAAGCAAGGAAATGCTCGTGGACAAGCATTTCCATTCTGTAGATATTTTCATAATGTTTGCTTCTGCTTTAAATCCTTTTGAATAAATGATAAACACAGTACCATGCACAAAAAATTCCAAAAATAAATAACTGAAAAAAGTTACCTGGCAAAATAACCTGGTCTTCTCTTTTTCAAATCTTTAGTCTCCATGGTAGAATATTTCAAAGCTGATTACTTTTCCCTTCCGCGCTGTTCAATAAATGGCTTTTGTTTCCAGTTTCATGGCATCTGCACAGGAATGGTGCCTGTAATAACATAATCTTGTGACTCAGACTGCTTCACAAACAGAATGATAGCTGGTACTTGTTGTTTACCTTGAGATGAACAAGTTAAGATTTCCAGTCACATGCTTTATTATGTAAAACCCTCTAATGTTCGTTTATTTTAATAGATTGTGCAACGCAAAGCATTTTTCACATTGCACTAATTGAAGATAAGCGATATAAACTAAACATTAGCATCAACAAAGTCAATTTACTTCAATTGCCATTGGCACACCACCACCAAAAATAGGCAGTTATTTTCACTAAACACTTTATGGGAGCATTAACTCCTAGAGACCGAGATCCCACTGGCTAATATGAAAGGAGGGGCTTTCAAGATGCAAGGATCCTTGCAGAAGTAATAGCCTTAATTGCAAAGGAGTCCAAAGCGCATTCTGAATTATGAGGGCAGGGTAAACATTCTACAGCAATTTCCAAATTCAAACTTAAAAAGCATCAAATTGTCGATGGTTAATAAGAGTGGTATGAAGTAGTTGCAACTTAAATGCGGGAATCACATTTCAAAGAAAACAGACAGTATGGATGTTACTGAAAGAAAATCAATGATACTGGTTGAAGTGGATTTTGAAGTAACCAATTCTAACAAATCTCTCAAATAGCTATGGGAGTGCAGTAGCTGGAAGAGACATTAAAAAAAAAAGAAATTATTATTAAGTAAAACTGATTTTGTGATGTTTTGTCATTGTCTATTGCCTGCCGAAAATTGAGAATGAACCAAATATTTGCCACTTGGTCAGCTCTGACCTCACTGGCAAGGTCAATATTTACAGACCATCTCCAATTGCTGCCATTCCCCATCCATAAGCAAACCCCACAACATATATATGCATACATGCTGTACTAAACAAAAAAAATGGAAGAACTGCAGATGCTGGAAATCAGAAACAGAAACAAAAATTGCTGGAAAAACTCAATAGGTCTGGAAACATGTGTTGAGTTTTTCCAGCGACTTTTGTTTTTGTTGTGGTGTTGAGCAGTAGCTTCGCCAGGTTGGCATTTCATATTTAGGTATAACCTGTTTCTGCTTCCCACACTTTTTAGCGAAGTTCTTGGGTTTTTCTTGAAATAGTTCTGCAATGCATATCTATGTACAAACTTATGGCTGCAGTGTCTATTTTCTTGACGTGTAAAAGAAGTTGAACATTTAGTCAGTTCAGTGGAGTCCAACCTGCTATGCTTCGAGTTAGCCACTGGAAGAGGTCAAGAAGGCTGAGACTGGTTCTTATTGGGCCATTGGGGAAGTTGAAGAATGAAGGTAAACTGTTTAAATTGCTCTCAAATTTCTTTTTGTCTGATTAGCTGCAAGCCTTTTCTTTTTTCCAAATCATTTACTGGCAATAGAGAGAATATGTAAATGATTGCTTCAAGTACAGTTGATTTTAAATTTCAGCAAGGAGCTCCTGCAAATCAAAAGTAACCTACAAAAATCAAAAAGTATCCCTCAAAAGAAGTAACTCATTCTGACCAGTTTCAAACCAATCCAAGGTATTTGAGAAGTTTTTTAAATAAACACATCGCACTCAAGACCAGACTAGTACAACCCATTATTAAACATAATAACAGCAAAATATACAAAACTGCAAAAACTACAGACATCACCCCAATGCATAGAGCACTCTACTGCCAATAAGGGTTAAATTTACCATTTTTACAGGTTCTTAAGGAACAGAATTTGGGAAACAGTCGTTAATTGGAGAGACAAATCATTGAAGAGATAGTCTGATAATCGCAACCTCACCAGACAACTATTATCTCATGATGTCACTGTTGGACTTCCTAAAGTCAGGAAGGTCCTAGGCTTATTCATCTTCAGCTGTTCCATCAGTAGACTTCCCTCCACAACAGAGTCAGGGTGGTGATGTTAATATACTACTTTTCTATTCTTCCTGTCAAACTGAACAAGTTCACATTTTTGCAAATTATGTTCTATCTGCCAAATATTGCTCCCACATCAAACCCATCTTTCCCTGCTGTAGGCTCTATGTCATTGTGACAACTTACTTCCCTATCTTTGTACCACTAGCAAACTCACATTTGATCCCTTCATTCAAGTCATTAATAAAGATGGTAAATAATGGCAGTCCCAATCCTGTAGCCCTCTACTAGTTAGTCCGCCATTCCAAAAATAACCCGTTATCTTATTTTCTGCTTCCGGTCACCTAAACAATCCTCTATCAATGCTAAATATGTCACCTCCTACACCATCTTATTTTGTGTAATGCCCTTGCGAATGGCATCTTATCAAATATCTTTTGAAAATTCAAGTAACACATCTACAAGTTCCCCTTCTTCCAACTTGTTAAATTCTTTGAGGAATTAAACAAATTGGACAGACACAACTTCCCTTTCACAAAACCATTCAGACTCTGCCTGATTGAGAAAATCATAAGACCCGAAGAGTCTAGGCCCGAAACGTCAGCCTTCCTGCTGTGTTCATCCAGCTCTGCACACTGCTATGAACAGGGTGGGGCCAAAAGATTGTTCTCTGTTTGCCACCAGGCAGGATGCTTCTCAGAGCTTGTTCTCTGGTTGTGAGAATTTAAGGACACTGGAAGATTTACGTTGTTATAGCCAGGAGAAGACACAGTGGTCCTTACAGGTGGAAGTTTTACTCAGTGAATTCTCAAAGTCTGAGGAGAATAACCTTGCTATAAACATGAGACACTAAGACTCACCAAAAAAAAATGTTAAAACAAGCCTTTTGGAAGCCAAGAGTAACTTTGGACTGGTTCCTGCTTTTAAAAAAATGCAATTCTGCAGGAGAATGTTGTTAATGTATAAATGTGAGATGGGTCTTTGGCCACATTTCGCTAAAAGACATATTTTC